CAAACTTTTAAATAGTTGCCAATCTCTTAGGTGTGTAATGGTGTGTTGTTTTTATTTTTAATCTCCAAATACTAATAGAATTATGATCTTTTCATATGCTTATTGGCCATTTGCATTTCTTCCTTTGTGAATTCCTTATTCATATCCTTTGTCCAGCTTCTTTTTGGGCTTTTTAACTTTTCCTTATTGATTGGCAGAAATTCTTTATAGTCTGTATATTAACCCCTTAATTAATATGGATTAGTTAATCCATATTAATATGTGTGTGCAGCTATGTGAGTATACATACACACACACGTGTCATTAAAAAAATAGGACTACCTCTGAAGCCAAGATGCTAAATTGGAGTCCTCCTGAATCCCAGGCTCCAGGCAGAGTGAATCTGCTACTGATTATCTGGACTATCTGGAGAAGCAAGAGAAGTCCCAGTTGTGGCCATGCCAGTTCCCTCCAGAACAAAAAAGGGCTACAGGAATCAAGGTGGAGAAAAACAGCTTCACATAGAATCAGGAATCTAGCCTGCTAGGAAAGAGTCCTCTACACCAGGAAATCTGCAGATAGCACTTCTGCTACCAGGATTTCCTTGGGCCTTGGCTCTGAGCCATCTCTGGGAGATCTGGGAGTAACAAAGACCCAACCCCTCCCTCCTCCCAGTAGCAGTGACTTCACCAAGATATGTTTATGTCCTCACATGTAAATTTTGGAGGGAGGCAATTTCCAGGGCTCTATTCCAGCATTTAGGGAACCAGGTTCCTTCTAGCTTATTACTCCATCACTTCCTGAGCAGGTATTGGTGTGTATAGAGCGCCTGGGCCAGTTCTGCTCTAGTCTTAGGACTAGAGTCACTCACCATATCCCTTGGGCTCACTGTTTCTTCTCAACTGTGGGGTGGCATTGAGGGTCATGGTGAGAGTGTAGGCCAGGCTCAGAGAGGTAATCTGCCCAAGGTCATACAGTTGGAATTCAAAGAGTTTCTGGTGCCAAGACCCACATTTATGCTGCTTTATAAATATTATTTATGCTGCTTTATAAGATACTGTCTCTGCCTTCTGCATGGCCAGTGCTGACTTGCTCTTTAGAACTCTCACTGTGGATGTGATTTGGAGAAGGGAATGGTGGGGGGGAGTGGAGGGAGGCTGTGGTGGGCAGCCAGGCAACATCACAGAACTGTGATCTAAATGATAGTAATGGCAGGGGGTGGAGACATACAACAGATTCAAGAGAGATTAGAGGTGGCTGGTAGAAGGAAGGGATCACAGATGACATCTGCGTTACCTGGGGGGCAGGTATTGAAATCATTTATTTAATTATGGAACCCTAGAGAAGAGAAGAACACATTTAGAAGGGGGAGATATTAAGTGCAGCCTTTGATAACTGCCAAGTAGGGGATGGCCAGAGGGCTCTAAAGATCAAGATAGAAAAGAAAGTGAAGTAAGAGTTTATTCTGTAAATAATTCCTGCCCACATTAGCAATCAGTATCTGTACTATTCACTTATCATTGAATTTAAACCTGCATTCCATTAATACTCTTGTAAGTGGGTATTTATAGATACTAGACATTCCATTGCTTGAAAGCAGAAACTAACCCACCTTAGTGATGTATTGGTATTTCACAAGGAATAACAGGTTAATTAAAAGAAACAATGAACATATTTGAGCATCTGAGTGTGAAGTAAGGGAATCTGTTACTGTTATGCATGGCTTACACTTGCACCTCAGCATGTGCACAATTTCAGGCCTGTTGAAAGAATTCAAGCCTGACTGCCTGCCATTTAGCCAGAATTGGGACAGTAAACGTTCGGGTGTGAAAGGAATGCAAGGTAAGACCCACAGAAATGAGGTGGGGTCCATCTTCTCTTTATACCCACTAGACTAATTCATCAGTACGAGACTTCAACACGAAAGAGTTCACATCATCCACTTTTTTGAAGTATTTCTCCTTTGGTTATCTATCCTTATGGCTTGAATCCTGGACTCATTTAATCTCCTTAGTAGTTTTCAACATGGGCTTTACGTCAACTTTACCTTACCGCTATCCTTCCCTTTCTTCTCATAATGATTCTATTGTTACCCTGATTTGCTCCATATTGCCTCAGTTTTCTCGACTCTTTTGGCTTCTACTGCCAATGTCCACAGTCACAATAGGACACACCTTTCATTTCAGTATTCAAAGAGACTGCTTCACCCCCGGTTTTCCCTTTACAGAACTCTCCTTCAGCATTCCT